AAATAATGCAAGTAATCATAATACCTCATCTCAGAGATATAGAGACCGAAACGTTGTGAATATGGCAATGAAGATGAGGATAACAGTCCGAATAATGTAAATAATGTAAGTAATCATAATACCTCATCTCAGAGATATAGAGACCGAAACGTTGTGAATATGGCAATGAAGATGAGGATAACAGTCCGAATAATGTAAATAATGCAAGTAATCATAATACCTCATCTCAGAGATATAGAGACCGAAACGTTGTGAATATGGCAATGTAGATAAGGATAACAGTCCGAATAATGTAAATAATGCAAATAATCATAATACCCTGAATCTCAATGAAGATGAGGATAAGAGTCCGAAAACGTAAATAATGTAAATATGGCATATGAAGATGAGGATAACAGTGAAGATGAATAATGTAAATAATGTAAATAATCATAAATACCTCATCACAGCGATATAGAGACCGAAACGTTGTGAATATGGCAATGAAGATGAGGATAACAGTCCGAATAATGTAAATAATGTAAATAATCATAATACCTCATCTCAGCGATATAGAGACCGAAACGTTGTGAATATGGCAATGAAGATGAGGATAACAGTCCGAATAATGTAAATAATGCAAGTAATCATAATACCTCATCTCAGAGATATAGAGACCGAAACGTTGTGAATATGGCAATGAAGATGAGGATAACAGTCCGAATAATGTAAATAATGCAAATAATCATAATACCTCATCTCAGAGATATAGAGACCGAAACGTTGTGAATATGGCAATGAAGATGAGGATAACAGTCCGAATAATGTAAATAATGCAAATAATCATAATACCTCATCTCAGAGATATAGAGACCGAAACGTTGTGAATATGGCAATGAAGATGAGGATAACAGTCCGAATAATGTAAATAATGCAAATAATCATAATACCTCATCTCAGCGATATAGAGACCGAAACGTTGTGAATATGGCAATGAAGATGAGGATAACAGTCCGAATAATGTAAATAATGTAAGTAATCATAATACCTCATCACAGCGATATAGAGACCAAAACGTTGTGAATATGGCAATGAAGATGAGGATAACAGTCCGAATAATGTAAATAATGCAAGTAATCATAATACCTCATCACAGCGATATAGAGACCGAAACGTTGTGAATATGGCAATGAAGATGAGGATAACAGTCCGAATAATGTAAATAATGTAAATAATCATAATACCTCATCACAGCGATATAGAGACCGAAACGTTGTGAATATGGCAATGAAGATGAGGATAACAGTCCGAATAATGTAAATAATGTAATTAATCATAATACCTCATCTCAGAGATATAGAGACCGAAACGTTGTGAATATGGCAATGAAGATGAGGATAACAGTCCGAATAATGTAAATAATGTAAATAATCATAATACCTCATCTCAGAGATATAGAGACCGAAACGTTGTGAATATGGCAATGAAGATGAGGATAACAGTCCGAATAATGTAAATAATGCAAGTAATCATAATACCTCATCTCAGAGATATAGAGACCGAAACGTTGTGAATATGGCAATGAAGATGAGGATAACAGTCCGAATAATGTAAATAATGCAAGTAATCATAATACCTCATCTCAGAGATATAGAGACCGAAACGTTGTGAATATGGCAATGAAGATGAGGATAACAGTCCGAATAATGTAAATAATGCAAGTAATCATAATATCTCATCACAGCGATATAGAGACCGAAACGTTGTGAATATGGCAATGAAGATGAGGATAACAGTCCGAATAATGTAAATAATGCAAGTAATCATAATACCTCATCTCAGAGATATAGAGACCGAAACGTTGTGAATATGGCAATGAAGATGAGGATAACAGTCCGAATAATGTAAATAATGCAAGTAATCATAATATCTCATCACAGAAATATAGAGACCGAAACGTTGTGAATATGGCAATGAAGATGAGGATAACAGTCCGAATAATGTAAATAATGCAAGTAATCATAATACCTCATCTCAGAGATATAGAGACCGAAACGTTGTGAATATGGCAATGAAGATGAGGATAACAGTCCGAATAATGTAAATAATGAGATAAATAATCATAATATCTCATCACAGCGATATAGAGACCGAAACGTTGTGAATATGGCAATGAAGATGAGGATAACAGTCCGAATAATGTAAATAATGCAAATAATCATAATACCTCATCTCAGAGATATAGAGACCGAAACGTTGTGAATATGGCAATGAAGATGAGGATAACAGTCCGAATAATGTAAATAATGCAAATAATCATAATACCTCATCACAGCGATATAGAGACCGAAACGTTGTGAATATGGCAATGAAGATGAGGATAACAGTCCGAATAATGTAAATAATGCAAGTAATCATAATACCTCATCTCAGAGATATAGAGACCGAAACGTTGTGAATATGGCAATGAAGATGAGGATAACAGTCCGAATAATGTAAATAATGCAAGTAATCATAATACCTCATCTCAGAGATATAGAGACCGAAACGTTGTGAATATGGCAATGAAGATGAGGATAACAGTCCGAATAATGTAAATAATGCAAATAATCATAATACCTCATCACACAGCGATATAGAGACCGAAACGTTGTGAATATGGCAATGAAGATGAGGATAACAGTCCGAATAATGTAAATAATGCAAATAATCATAATACCTCATCTCAGAGATATAGAGACCGAAACGTTGTGAATATGGCAATGAAGATGAGGATAACAGTCCGAATAATGTAAATAATGAAACGTTGTGAATATATAATGAAATAATCATAATACCTCATCACAGCGATATAGAGACCGAAACGTTGTGAATATGGCAATGAAGATGAGGATAACAGTCCGAATAATGTAAATAATGTAAATAATCATAATACCTCATCACAGCGATATAGAGACCGAAACGTTGTGAATATGGCAATGAAGATGAGGATAACAGTCCGAATAATGTAAATAATGTAAATAATCATAATACCTCATCTCAGAGATATAGAGACCGAAACGTTGTGAATATGGCAATGAAGATGAGGATAACAGTCCGAATAATGTAAATAATGTAAATAATCATAATACCTCATCACAGCGATATAGAGACCGAAACGTTGTGAATATGGCAATGAAGATGAGGATAACAGTCCGAATAATGTAAATAATGTAAATAATCATAATACCTCATCACAGCGATATAGAGACCGAAACGTTGTGAATATGGCAATGAAGATGAGGATAACAGTCCGAATAATGTAAATAATGTAAATAATCATAATACCTCATCACAGCGATATAGAGACCGAAACGTTGTGAATATGGCAATGAAGATGAGGATAACAGTCCGAATAATGTAAATAATGTAAATAATCATAATACCTCATCACAGCGATATAGAGACCGAAACGTTGTGAATATGGCAATGAAGATGAGGATAACAGTCCGAATAATGTAAATAATGTAAATAATCATAATACCTCATCACAGCGATATAGACATAATATTTTGAGTTTTATCTATTAATCGTGTTACATTTTCAGTTGAATTTTAATCATCAGCTGTTCGAATAGTTTCTCAATGGTGCTAATTCTATGTTACATTTGTAAAATTATTTAAAACACTGGTTCCAATACTGAATGGTATTTTGTTAATTAAAGTTTGTTTGCGGTTCATTTTGCAATAATGTTTATTTTGTCTCTATAAGACGAAAAAAAATATTTATTCCGATTAAAAAATAACTTCATTCCTTGAAACATGTACAAAGTGACTGAAAATGCCACGAGACAAAATTCCTGAAAAAACATCTATAATCTTGAACCATCAATAAAAATACTAGGGATAAAATCAGAAAATATTAACTAAAACACCTGTTAAAATATTTTCGTAATCTTCATATATATATGTATATATATATATATATATATATATATAAATTCAGATGTTCTCACTTCATCAGAACGTGCAGAATGTCTTACGTTTTCATACAGACATTGGGGAACTGTCAGCGTCTTCTAACTCTTTTCGTATCTTGTGGACAAACGACCTTGCAACTCTGAGGAAACGTGCAATATCCAAATCGCTATGATCAGTCTTTAATGCCACAATCACAGCATGCCTTTTCATTTAATTTGTTATCATAGGATTTGCCATTCTTGATTTCTGAAAAATAAAAGCATTAGAAGTTAGTGGAAGCAGTCTTAATCTTAAATCTGTATGTCCTCAAATACCAGCCACACCCTGTATATATATATATATATATATATATATATATATATATATATATATATATATATATATATATATATATATTATCGGATTATATTTTCAGCTTGATGTCCTATAGAGTCAGAGAAGAACTCGATGTTGAAGGTGATATATACATGATAACAGTCTGTTCAATCTGAGATATCTAAAGGCCAGCGCGTGACTATGGCGCACTTCATCCATGAACTTTTTTTTGACAATAATGCTACTTTTATTTTTCACACAGAGCATACCTGAAGCCTATAAACTCTTGGTCGCAATGACTGCTCAGCTTTTCGGACTCAAAATCAGTTTTTAAAAGACTGTAGTTCTTCATCAATGTCCAACTCAGGAAGAATATCGATCTCTAAATATTATCACCAGCGAGACTGGACTGAAGACAGTACCTCAATGATTCTACAAGGGATAAATCATTTTATCAGACGTCAAGATCGACAAATAAATCTACAGCAATCTGGCGAAAGCAAACTGTGCATTTGCCAGATTGGAACTACAAATGTCTGAAGTATTAAGATCATTGTCTACAGAAACGTTGTACCAACCAATCTCATTCATGGCTCTGAGTCACCTATCATCACCAGCTGTGACTCCTTCAGTACTCCCTATTCTTAAAATCAATTGGTGACGTCGCCTCCAACGGCGAAGTCCTAGAGGAGGTGGCTATCACTAGCAATGAGGCCAAGCTGTTGGAAACGCAGCTATGTCTCCAGAATGAACGACCAACACCTGCTCAAGACTGTACTTTACGGTGAACTCTCCATTGGACACCGTGACAGTTGGGTGATTGTTATGGGAACTTACCCATAATAATAATGGACAATTCCTGACATTATAAATACTGTGCCTCTCAAGAGGTATGAGCAGAGATTGTAAGACGAGGAGAGATAATTGAGAGCATATTGTAAGGACATTGGAATAGTGATACTTGTCGAGACAACATAGTTCACTCTAACCAAATCTGATAGTCATTACTAATACTACTTCTTTGTATTATATTTCTGTTGTAATATGTCTTTGTATTCCATACCTGTGTTCGTGTTATTCTTTCATTGGTTCTAAACTTGGACCATCACCCGTGGTACAAGGAACTTGGGCCATAACAGTGATCAAGAAGAGTTACCATGATTCTCTGAAGGAATCATTCAATAAATGTCATATCGACCATAGCCAGTGATCTCACCTAGCTGTAATCCTAGTGACGAACCATCAGCTCTTCCGAGAAGGAATGCGGGATTAAGAGGATAAGAGGAGGGGGACATTCTTTGCAGCCAGATCGGCATAGAACTGGTCAGCTAGAAGAGAGTTTATATCAGACGTGGGCGGTTATCTGTAAAGTCTTTTGTTCGCGAAGCCAAGAGAAAGATATATGTTTTTACTTCAGACACTTACACCCACCTACCTGTACACACTTTCATTAAGAAACATTAATCCTAACAAGTTTACTCATGGGAAATGTATATTTTATCAGTAAATAAGAGCATACTAATGTGTCTGTTATTAATTTAATGTCTATGTACAATATTTTAAGAAGAATAAACGTGGTTTTAGGAATTCACACATTAGTTTTTAATTTAGTTAATTTCCATCCAAGTTTCATTTAATATCTCTGTTTCTCTCTAATTGTATCAGCTTGTTAATATGTATTAGCAGCCTCTTTTGATTTTTCTCTGTATTTAAGTATCTATCTATCTATCTATATATATATATATATATATATATATATATATATATATATTACATGAATCATTCATACAAAAAGTAGATTAGTTAAGTTAATGATATAAATGGCGAAAAACATCTTCGCAAACAAATTTATTAAATTTATTTACATTAACCACTGAACCTCTCGATGAATGTTATGATCCTTGTTTTTAATAACTTCAAGTTTTATAAGGTCTTTTTTTATTTTTCTAGTACTTTCAGCTGTACTTACAGCCATCCTCAAGCATGGAAATTAATTTTTTTTTTTTTTAGTAAATCCAGGTAGTAGCGAGACACGAAAGATTAAATGTTAATCGAAATATGTTTTTTTTTTTTTTTAGAAATGTGTTATTATTAACGGATAAGAAATTTTGGAGCGTGCAGTCGCAACACTAAGGTTGAATTTTTTGAAAATTTAAGAGAGTACGTTTTTTACTAATATAGTAATTTGAGAATTTTTTGTTGTAGAAGTTTTTAGTCGATGTGGCATGAACTAAATTGTTCAATAAATAGAGTAATGTCGCATATATATATATATATATATATATATATATATATATATATATATATATATATATGTGTGTGTGTGTGTGTGTGTGTGTGTGAGGTTGCATGGAGAGTTGTTTGTGACCTTAGATTTCACACTTTCGCGATCTGTCTAAGGATTGCGAAAGCGTGAAACCTAAGGTCACAAAAACAACTCACCATGCGACCTCATATGTTAACTCTGTCACAAATAGTGAGCACTTTCCACCAAATACTGCTCACACACACACACACACACACACACACACACACACACACACACACAGATCTATGAAATAGGTATAGATTACACTCTTTCTGTCTCTGCTTCTCTGTCTGTCTGTCTCTCTCCCTCCCCCTCTCTCTCTCTCTCTATATATATATATATATATATATATATATATATATATTATATATATATAATTTAAAATATAGATTGGCACCTACCTACACCACACCCTTCCGAGATAAACACCTTTGTTCGTGTTTGCTCACGTGATTCCTGTGGGTGTGTTTGGAAATTTGCTCTTCTGTGTGGAACCTAATGTGTCCATAGATAAATTCTGGAACACAGAAATAAAAATGTAGACACTTGAGAAAATGGAAGAGAGGAAGTGAAAGAAGAAGAGGTATCGGGGGGTGATGTGTGTAACGGGGGGGAGGGGGGAAAGAGGAAGAAATTAAGGAATAAGTAATAAAGAAGCCATAAATAAGTAAACACTTAAACAACTTAGTGATCTTTAAATCTACCGACATTTCTTGCTGGTTGGTCCCACGATATTGCGGGGGAGGGCATATTACCACCTCCTTCCCACACATTCCGTACATGAATTCATAATTTTAGGAGATATTCAATCATATATATATATATATATATATATATATATATATATATATATATATATATATATATATATATATATATATATATATATATTATCTATCTATCTATATATATATATATATACATACATATATATGTGCATGTGTGTGTGTGTACCATTACATGCATACAGATGCATATATATATGCATCTGTATGCATGTAATCGTACACACATACAGATTACAGATGCATATATATATATATATATATATATATATATATATATATATATATATGCATGTATGCATGTAATCGTACACATACGATTACAGATACATATATATATATATATATATATATATATATATATATATATATATATATATATGCATCTGTATGCATGTAATCGTACACACATATATGCATCTGTGAGTGATTACTTGCTTACGGATATATATATATATATATATATATATATATATATATATATCGAAGAGTATATAGGAAGAGTATATTGCGTCTGTGTTCTCACTGAAGTATGCCTGGATGCTTTACTTGGGATCGAAAACCGGCCACAAACGCCGGTGGAAAAATTCGTAGCTCTTTAAGCTATGGATCATGAACACAACGGAGAGTATTAAGATTAAAAATTTAGGTTAATGATTCTTACAAGCAAGTATAAAACAGCCCAGTCAATGTAGATATGTGCAAAAATGATATTGCGGTGTGAAAAAACAAATGCAATACCTGACAAGCGTAACTGAATGTAAATCCTGATTAAAATGTCCTCAATTCTGCAACTATTTCGATGTTTCTTTCAATCATTCTTACATCATTATGAGAATCAACATTCAAAGCATTTTAAGAACAAATTTGATGTTTGTCAATCAAGGATTGTTTACCTACATACATTTATCTATAAATGTAAAAGACAATAGGAAGATTGTAATAATTGTAGCCGACACGTTTCGCCCAATGTGGACTTCTTCAAGGCGAAAAACGAAATGAATTTATTAAACAAAGTAACTAATAATAACAAAACAAAATGTCCTTAGCAACTGGAAGAATTCAGAGAACGCTATTTTCATATTGTTAACGACGTAATTTCCAGTTAACAATATGAAAATAGTGTTCTCTAAATTCTTCCAGTTGCTAAGGACAGTTTTGTTATTATTAGTTACTTTGTTTAATGAATTCATTTTGTTTTTTGCCTTGAAAAATTCCACATTGGACGAAACGCGTTGGCAACTATTACAGTTTTCCTATTGTCATTTATATTTATAAATATTGTCCTTTTCTACAGGTTAACTCTGAGAAATTTTTCATACATTTATCTATTGATGCAGTCAAATACACTCAAACAAGAAAAACAATACATTTACATTTGGTCTCTGTGTGCGTGTTTATATATATATATATATATATATATATATATATATATATATAGAGAGAGAGAGAGAGAGAGGGAGAGAGTGAGTGAGAGAGAGAGAGAGAGAGGGAGAGAGTGAGTGAGTGAGAGAGAGAGAGAGAAAGAGATTCTCATGAGAAGGAAACATATATTTATAAATATCTCAAGAATATATAATAAAAAATGAATAAGACCACACACATATTTAGCCTCAGTTCTATGAGTACTAAGTGGGACAAGCACAGATTCTTGCAAATTGGCAAACGCTTCGATACACACACACACACACACACTTACACGCGCGCGCATGCACATACATACACAAGGAGAGGCAGAAACGCGCATGCGCGTATTCATAAAATCAAGTAGACCACACACAGTCCCAGACACTCACTCATGGGTTCCTGTGTGCCCGGCGACACATACGCAAATGCAGTCATATCTCTCCTCCTCTTCCTCTCTCTATCTCTTTCTCTCTCTCTCCCTCTCTTTTTGAAATAATGTCAGCTGATATTTCCCTCTCTCTCTTTTCTTTCTCATCTACTCAACGCGCATAGCTCCTCTTCTGCCGCCATTTTGTCTGTTAATGTAACTCTCTCTAGCGCCAACAAAATCAAAGCGTTATCTTTTGACTCCCTATCGTACAATCACCAATCTCTTTCTTTATCTCTCTCTCTTTCTTTATCTTTTTCTCTCTCTCTTACTTTCTCTCTCTCTTTCTTTATCTCTTTCTCTTACTTTCTCTCTCTCTTTCTTTATCTCTCTCTCTTTCTTTCTCTCTCTCTCTTTCTTTCTCTCTCTCTCTTTCTTTATCTCTTTCTCTTTCTTTATCTCGCTCTATTTCTTTCTTTATCTTCCTCTCTATCTCTTTATTTCTTTCTGTCTCTTTTTTATCTTTCTCTGTTTTTCATTTCTCTCTTCCTCTTTCTTTATCGTTCTCTCTATCTCTTTCTTTATCTCTCTCTATCTCTTTCTTTATTTCTCTCTCTATCTTTTTCTTTATCTATCTTTATCTCTTTCTTTATCTTGTTCTCTCTTTCTTTATCTCTCTCTCTCTTTATCCCTCTCTGTCTCTTTCTTTATCTCTCTATCTCTTTCTTTATCTTTCTCTCAATCTCTATCTTTATCTCTTTCTTTATTTCCCTCTATTTATTTATCTGTCTTTATTTCTTTCTTTATCTCTCTCTCTCTCTCTCTCTCTCTATCTATCTATCTATCTATCTATCTATCTATCTATCTATCTATCTCTTTCTATATCACCCAGACGCAAGCAGCAGTTCACAAAGACGCCCTGTCAATTTAGTTAGATAGAACCTATCAAACAGCAGCAAGGGAATCCACAGTGCCAACGTTTCAGAGCTCTATTCTGCGTGAAATCTAAGATTTCTATTTCTAAGAAGCCCAGATGCAACAAGTAATGATTCATTTAAGGAAATCTCCTAATCTCTCTATGATTGCTACGTTTGTGCAATGATGAACGCTAAGGTGTCAATGATATTTAAAACTATTTATATTCTTTCATACTTTCTTCTTCAGTTGCGCGCATGCGCGCTCACACACACGCGCGCATGTCGTCGGACACCACCGGTAGCAGGGTGATTAGAAAGCTCAACTCGAAAACTAATTCACTATTGTAATGAGTTTGATCTTCACTGTGTGCCAAACCCACCTGACCGTGTATCAGAGTAAATATATCCGGACAAAATATCTTTATGCGCACAATTATATATTAATCTACGCAAAAAGAAATGGACATATCTGTATGGTTATACGTTTGATTTTTATGCAAAGAGGTGCAATGTTTTATATTAGGTTCCTATTCCTCGTCATTAAACATCCATTTTACAGAGAAAAAAAAATTAATTCCCAAAGTTTGATATGTTTTCTTGCCAAGTAGATAACGTTTGAAGAAAGTTCTAGAGCTTTCTCTTGGTTGAGGTATTTTGTCTCTAAACGATGGCGCTAGCCCCAGTTCCAGAAGAAAACACAGAACCGTAATCATGGCGAGCAGAAGGTGAACGAGACAGGCGACTAAAAAAAAGAGAAACGAAAATAGTGAAAGGGATAGAAGAGGGAAAACATAATTTGCTGAAAGGAAAATAAATTATTGCAAACTATATTTAATTCTATCAATTCGCCTTATATTCCAAATAGCTTGAAGCATGTAACATCAACATTTGCCAACATCAAGATCATCATCGACGTCATGGCTGTAATCAATACCATCGATGACATTCATCATGGATTTGGTTGCATGTTATTCCTATATATTTTTAATAGTTACTCAATTTATCCGTCTTGATTCTACGTCTTTGTTCGTTAGTAATTTGATTAGAGCTCATCAAAATACATGGACGAAGGAAATCTAATTCCAAATTAAAATGGTTTGCTCTTATCCACAGATTCCTGAGAATCATAACTTATTTTCCTTCGAGTCGTCTACTCCTTTCAGAATGAATGCTGAGTTGATTTGATGGACAAGAGGAAATGGCAAAAAAAAAAAAAAAAAAGAAAATGCCAACTCTATCATCCCGGCCCAAATCCGTTTTTAACTTCTTTACACAGAGTTAAGACGTCTTAAAAATCATCCGACTAGACTGCGTCAATTTTCAAGTCTAGATTATGATTCATACTTGTAAAACCCGTAGTATTCTTGTGAAATTTTGTACGTAACTTTCTCTCTTTTTTCCTTCCCCTTGATCTCATTTCTCTCTTTTTTTCTTTCTCTTTCAGTTTCCCAAATTTTTCTTTTAGTTTAATCTCTGTTTGCTTCAGTCTTTCTTATTCTTCACGTGTGGTTTGGTTTGGTTTGGTTTGGCTTCGTTTTGTTTACGGCATATGAAAACCTCAATGGGTTATTTACTGACGACCAGATTTATATTTATATTTTCTTCAAAAAAAGTATTTCTGGTAATATTTTTTTTCAAAAAAATTATTTCTGGTAATATTTTTTTCAAAAAAAGGATTTCTGGTAATATTTTTTTCAAAAAAATAGTTCTGGTAATATTTTTTTCAAAAAAGTATTTCTGGTAATATTTTTTTTCAAAAAAATATTTCTGGTAATATTTTTTTCAAAAAATTATTTCTGGTAATATTTTTTTCCAAAAAAGTATTTCTGGTAAAATTTTTTTTTCAAAAAAAGTATTGCTGGTAATATATTAATATAAATGTATTTGCGTCCTGGGTATGAAGATAAACTACATCTGCGTCCTGGGTAAGACGATAAACTACGTCCAACAGCAAGGCCTCTGCTCAGGAGGTTTTGAGGAGCGTGGAACCACCTCTTAATTGCTGGTTTTTCCAGGTCCACTCTGAGCCAGTGTGGTAACACCTGTTAGGGTCCCAGCTATGGGCAAATAGTTAACCCTGAAATTGGGGTAAAAATACTATGAAAGTGTAAAAATAGGTTTTAATACCAGAAATACTTTGTAAAAAAATTATTACCAGCAATAAATATTTGAAGAAAATAACCATTATCATCAATACATTTTTTAAAAAAAAATTATTACCAGCGATACATTTTTGAAGGATAAATTTTACTAGAAATAGATTTTTGATAAAACAAAATATTACCAGCAATAAAAAATTTGTTGGCATTACATAACCCATTGAGGTTGATATGCCGTAAAACAAAACAAACCAAAAAATGTATTGCTGATAATAAAATTTTCTCAAAAAATTCATTGCTAGTAATATTCTTTTTCGAAAATGTATTGCTGGTATTAAAACCTATTTTTATACTTTCCTAGTGTTTTGATCTCAGTTTGGGGTTAATTATTTGCCCATAGTTGGGATCCTAACAGGTGCTACCACCCCTGGTCAACAATTAAGAGGTCGTTCCATGCTCCTCAAAACCTCCTGATCAGAGGCCTTGCTGCTGGACGTAGTTTATCGTCATACCCAGGACAGTTACTCTCCACTTTTATTCTATCACTTTCTCTCTTTTTCTAATTTACCTAACATTTTTCTTTCCTTCTTTATTCCTCTTTCTCTCGCTCAGTACTTACTCCTCCCCTCTTCACTCTCTTCTCTCTTTCTTTTATCATCTCTTTCCTTTTCTCTCTATCTTTTCTTTCTAGGTCTCCTTTTCGCTTTTCTTTCTTTCCCTCTTTCCCCTTCCGCCTCTCTTCCTTTATTCTTTCTCTCTCTATTTTCCTGCTTTTCTTTTCCCTCTCTTTTTTCCTCTCTAGGCTTACGGTCTTATTACATTGAAACACCGGTCCCTGTACGATCACTGAAGTTAAACAACGTCGATCCTTGTCAGTACCTAGATGGGTGACTGCTTGGGAATACCAGGTGCTGTAAGATATGTGTGTGTGGGGGGGGGTAATGGATAACGGCTCGGAAGTGTTAATCGGAGAGCCAAGTTGTAATTCACGTTAGATTCGTTATATCTCAAATACTTTTGGGAACGAGATTTATTCATCTCTTCTCCTCACATCTATGGGTTCATTAGTAAGACTTGTATCACTAAACCATTATTACCCCCCCCCACACACACACACGAACCCCCTGAAATTCTGACAATCTAAAAATATTTTCTAGGTTTAAATAACCTTCAAAAGGGTTGATAACTCGTAAAAAACGAATCAATCAATCAACAATATATTTCTCTTACAGTCTTTCGCTTTCTTTATCGTCCTCAATTTTCCTTTTACAAATGTTTTTTTTTTATGTTTTGAAACCTCGGCAAATGTAGCTTGGTGGTCTTGTCTCTTTGCAGTCACCGCCCCTATCATTTTCACCGGCCTCCACCACCTTCTCGAGTTGTTGCGTATTAGAAACGACTAAGCTAACAGTTTGCAATATATATGTATTACTTGAAACGTTACTTTTAGTGTTTTAAAGGCAAACAGAACCTCGCTTGATTGCAAAGCTCTTCCTAGCCGATTGGTTAAAGCACTACCGGACCTGACAGTGATATCTCTAGCAAAGAAGGACGCAGGTCCGAATCCTGCTGGAAGGCACATTTTCTTTAACAATTTTTCTCGAGTGTGCAGGACAGTGGACGAAATAAATACTGCTTAAAATAAAACGGAGCGTCTTCTCAAATACGGGTATCCAATAAAAATAACGATTGGATTAAAAAAATAAATTCGTTTATATATATATATAGTGGAACCTAGGTTCACAAATTTAATTCGTTTCTGAAGCCCGTTAGTAAACCAAAATGTTCGTAAACCGAAATTATTTTTCCAATAGAAATCAATGTAAAATGAATTAATCCGTTCCCAAGATGATTGCTTATCTAAACAGTACTTTGTGCACTAGATAATACACAAAACTAATGAAAATCATTAAATCTAGGGAAAAAAAAAACTATACTAAACAGATAAAATATAGACGAACACTTCAATTTTACCGTACCTGTAAGTAGGAGTGTTGATGGCGTAAGTGGAAGAGGAAAGAAAGACATGATCATCTCTTTATTTATAAGAAAATTATATATCGTTGATTTTGCCATACGAAACTAAGTAGGAAGAGACAATATCATCAACAACTGTTTTACTTTGAACTTTTCTTTTTCCTTTGCCGGTATCACTGCTAGCTTTCTTTGGATCTATGTCTAACCAGGGTTAATAAAGAGAAGTAAAAAAAAAAGGCGCGGTAAAATAGAATTGAAAAAGAAAAACACAACACGGCACAATATACGAATGCATACAACATGGCGGTCGACTCAGAAATGATTATGTTCGGGTTAACTCGGTTCCGCTCGGATCCGCTCGGATCCGCTCGGTTCCGCTCGGTTCGAAAATCGAACTTTGTTCGATAACCGAGACATTTTCATCTCAAATTTCCTGATGGAAAACCGATTTTGTAAACGTGGATCCAATACTGCTGATGAGTATCTATAGAAAAGTCTTCCATACATCATCACTATAACGATTTGCATTGATAGTTTTGTAATAAATATCACCAACCTTAATCAGAAATGTTAAAATAACCCCTACCATTCCTCAGAAAGAAGAACATCATTTTTCCACCATCAAGATCAACATCATGACTGTAATCAATACCATCGATGTCATTAGGCGTTGATTTGTTGACATGCTATCCCTGTATATTTTTAATGGTTACTCAATTCATCCATTTTGATTCTACGCCCAATTCAAGATTCATCACACATGAGAGTGAATATTTTTACGGATTATACACATTTTGTGGGTTATTTAAAGCCGAAACATATTTCAAATTTTAAGAATAATAATAATATTTTTATTTTTTTTTTGCGAGTGAATATTAACACTTTTCGGATTTGACATTTGAAGCTTCTAACCATTGCATTACCTGCACATCCTCATAACACCTGAAGCAAGGATTGTGTAAATTCAATTTTTATTCAAGAACCCACTCTTGAACGGGATTTTGACTGCTCACCAATCTAGGCTTTCCGAAAAATACGGAAATAGTACTTTAGTCCTTAGATTTTATATGGACACGTGGCCGAACGGTTAGAACGCTGGCATTCTGACCATGAGAATCCCACAATAGTCGATTTGTCTGTAAGGAGGCTTCCTGATGTTATCAGACTGGAGGGATCGATCCCACCAAGCGGTACCTTTGGAAAGTGCCTGAAAATCATACTACGGGTTGACCTAAGCTTTGTGAGTGAAATTGGGTAGACGGAACCCTTGAGGAGCGTCGATAGCAGTGCTAGTACGAAGTCACAAATCATCGTGGCCGACGGGTTGCGCATGCTGTCCTTGTTCAAATTGTTGATCACGCTAGAAAACACGTTATTTCCCAGAAACTGTAACTAAGATGTGGGTGTGTTGAATAAACATAAATGCGCCTGAACAAGCGTCTTCAATAGGGATTGGCTCGCCGCTCTAGTAGTAATACGAGTGGCCAGCTATATACTATACCATACTATACTATATAACTTCGATTTTATTTTCTTCTTCTTTGTCTGTCCTGGGTATGATGATAAACTACATCCGAGTCCTGGGTAAGACCATAAACTACGTCCAACATCAAGGCCTCTGACCAGGAGGGTTTGAGGAGCCTGGAACCACCTCTTAATTGCTGGTGTTCCCAGGGCCATCCTGACCCGGGGTGGTAGCACCTGTTAGAGTCCCAGCTGTAGGCAAATAGTTAACCCCCAAAACACTATGAATGTGTAAAAATAGGTTTTAATACCAGAAATACTTTGTAAAAATGATTATTACCAGCGATACAGTATTTCCAGCAATACATTTTTGAAAAAAAAATATTACCAGCAATAAAAATTTTGTCAATATTAAATAACGCATTGAGGTTGATATGCCGTAAAACAAATCAAACCAAACCTTCTTTGTTTTTGTTGTTGTTCTTACTGTCATAGAAGTAATTCTTTTGCTAATATCCCTTTTCCTCGTCTTTTGTTTTGTTGCAGCCCGATAATAAAAAAAAATCACTTGCTATATTATCGATACTCTGCAAGTAATGCCTCTAATTTTATTATTTTGCTCCACAACGTCTGAGGTCATTGCTGGTTGTATGGTTGTAAGGGTTGAGCCTCGACTCAATTTTTTCCGATGCTAGAGAAAGATGATTGGCAGAATAACTACTGAGTGTGAGATGAAAATGCACTCATTAACATTCAACCATGTTTCTTGAATGCTTATGGAGACCACATAGTGGAGGTAAGCTCAGTTCAGTAGTGAGTAGGCGTTTTAGCACTAACAACTAAAGATGTGTGTGGCTCGCCGCGTTGATAGAAGCTCTATACAGCTTTGAAATGTAGAGCTTTTGTTCAGTGTTGGCGAAAGTAAATGTGGAAAATAATATTCTGTAGCTGAAAATTTCCTTTATTCCACGGTGTTATTGTGCTGCTTGGATGTAAATGGAATGCTTATTATTTCCGTGGCTACATCTTGGCATTTTTTTTTACAGTTTAGGAATTTGTATCAGTTCAAAGTGACATTATGTGTCAAAGTTAAAGCGAACTAGACCGCACCGGAAAAGCATGTATCAAATATTTATAAGTGTCATTATTTTGTGCGCATATTAAATGTTTTTACACACGCTTCAAGATACCATCTGATGAGGTGAAAGATTTTATTTAATGTGATGTGTTTCTTTCGTATAATGATGGCTTCTATAATGAATCTTTCCTAGAGCGAGTGCAGTATATAATATTTTGGTATTATCTACATATATTTGTCTTATATTGTTTGAATTTAACAAAAATATGAGGTGAAATACTGCTGTTTGAATATACCTTATACATCTGTAGTCGTGACAAAACAGCGTGAGAGCACTATATTGAAAATAATACATACATATATATATATATATATATATATATATATATATATATATATATATATATATATATATATATATTTCTGAGATGAGGTATTGTGTACACTATTTGCATTATTCGAACTATTGTCCTCATCTTTGTCGCCATATTTATTACAACATTTCGGCCGTTGTACGCTCCGGACTTCTTCAGATGGTTGGAATGTCGAACTGAACCCTTTATTTCGCTCACTGGGGTAGACTGTTCTAGTTACACGTGCCATGTTTAATGGATGTCAGTTATCAGTTATCTCCTGTTAATTGCCCTCTCCAGTTTCTCCACTGCCTTAACCAGGTGTTGAACTCACACTCTTTTGGTCCTGTCACTGGATCTAACTAACGCCTTCACTTTTTTAAAAGTGAACATTGAAATCATCAATCTGAGTCATTACATATATATATATATATATATATATATATGTGTGTGTGTGTGTATGTACAATTAAAATGAATGGCAAGAATATAT